GGAGCCTGCTTCTCCCTCTGACCCTCCCCCCTCTCATGTGCTCTCTCTCTCTCATTCTGTCTCAAATAAATAAATAAAATCTTAAAAAAAAAAAAAAAGCTGGGGGGAGGCCAGAACTTCTGTTAGCCTTTTCCTGAGGTGAGGCTCAGAGGCTCTGCCGCTCCCCTCTGCCTCGGGCCACACTGAGGGAAAGGTGATTTCCCACTCTTTTTATTTAAACCTTGGGATAAAAGAATACTTAATGAGTTATTTTACATCCCAGTCTTTAGGTTTTTGGATGTGAAGATATAGCCTACGCTATGAGGACCTCCTGGGGTGTGGGCTCATTTCTAGGTGTTGGGGTGATAGCAGGGACTTCTGCCATGGGGCCCCACAGATGGGGCCAGGGGAGGCCTTCCTGGGAGATGCCCTGTGCACTGAGACCCAAAGGACCAAGAGCCAGCTGTGCAGAAGCCAGGGGACAGTGAGTGGAAAGGCCGTGGGGCACTGGCAGACTCAGGGACTGAGGGACTGTGAAAGGTCCCATTTCTTCCTGAGTGGTACAGTGCTTATGAGGTTTGGAGTAAAAATCTGTGGTCTAAAAGTTCTTACCAGCACATTTAGGAGTAATTTTTGAATTTTCATGCTTTTCCTCTGTGGGTCTGAAATGACCTCTCTTCCTGCTACTCTGATGTGCACAGTCTGAGTTCTGTACTCGGTTGTATGAAACTGTCCCTGGGCAGAGAATGTCAGCAGGCCTTGATCAGCTCAGCAGCTCATAGATGTACTTCAAATAGTACTCAGAGCAGAGGTGTAGAGGGAATCATTTCCCCAGTGATGTGGTGCCTGGGGGTGGGCTCTGTATTCCGGGGGGGGGGGTCCTGCCCCTCAGCCTAGCAGGCGCCAGGGGTCCTGGCTGGAAGTGAGAGGTTGATAACCTCAGAGGACCTCAGTCCTGTACTGGCCAAGGGCAAGGACCCTTCAGTCCTCCTGTCGTGTCACCTGGCACGGGTTGTGGACCTTCTCTGTGCCGGGCACTCTCTAGTGCTTTGTTTTAACTAATTTAATTATAGTTTCTAAGGTCAAATGCATTTTTTTTTTTTAAAGATTTTATTTATTTATTTATTTGAGAGAGAATGAGATAGAGAGAGAGAGCATGAGAGAGGGGGGAGGGTCAGAGGGAGAAGCAGACTCCCTGCCGAGCAGGGAGCCCGATGCGGGACTCGATCCCGGGACTCCAGGATCATGACCTGAGCCGAAGGCAGTCGCTTAACTAACTGAGCCACCCAGGCGCCCCCAAATGCATTTTTGAAGTTAATGTTTATCTTAAAACTTCCCAGAGAGTAGAACCCAGCAATAGAAGTCAGTTTGTGTTGTGGCCAGATCATAGCTGAGCAGGAGTGGGGCTGAGTGGGAGCTGGGAGTGGGGTTGGGGGTGTAGGGGGGGTGCATGTACATGTTTCCCAACCAGGGGGCTAGGGGGCTACTGGGCCTTGGGAAATCTGGACTCTTCTCTCCAGCCTCCCCAGCTTTAGTGGAGGTGCGGAGAGTCTACCTGACCTTGTATCTGTATCATACTGTCTCCCAAGAGTTCTGAGAGCAGACCTAAATTTCCTGCCCCTTATTAACCTGAAGGGGCAAGTGTGGTGCAGGGAGGGTCCCCACATGGCTGGTCAGGATGTGTGCTCTGCTGGTTCAAGCCTCCCCCTGGTGATGGGAGGTGAACTGTGGGATCTGAGGCCCAGATGAGGCAGGAATGGGTTGAAAGAGGGCACCTGGGTGGTGTGTACTTTTCTATATTACTCTATGTACTAATTTTGATATTTCAGGAAAGTAAAGATTCAGGTATCACCAAGGGCATTTATTTATACATAAAAGCTTATGCAACCTGATAAAAAATTTTACGAGTTGTTCTAGGCAGGGAATCTGTAAACATTTTCTTAAAGGACTAAATAGTAAATATTCTAGACTTTGTGGGACAAGAAGCAAAATTGAGGATAATCCAACCATTTAAAAATATAAGTACTGTTCTGAGCTTGGGGGTGGGGGCCCGCGAGCTGATTCCTACTGGACTACCTTCTTAGCCCTCTGGTGATCCTGGGTTTTAAGGTGTTTTTCTGCTTAGATTAGATTGGAAAAGTAGCACATTTCTCTCTGGAAAGATGAAAGCTGATCAAAGTTAAGTCATAAAAGGTATCAATACCCATTTATCTAAGCTCAGAGTACCAGATCTATGGAAAGAATAGTTTCAGATCAAGTAAAAAGAAGTGCGAGTTTCATATTATTCTTAAAAACATTGTTACCTCAAATACTTGAGAAACCAATTTATTGAGTTTAAGGGGTCACATGTCGATTTCTAATTGCTGCCTTCTGTGGTGTGATACGTATACTTCCTTCACTGCCATAAGGTAAAATCCAGGTGCCCTAACTTGGCTACACACTTTCAGGAAGCCAACGTGTGTGTGCCTGGGCACAGTCACACCCGGAGTGGTGTCAGGAGAAGCGTTGGGAAACAGAGGTGACTTTTTAAAGTGATAGCCAACTATCACAATTTCAGAGCACAACTCAAAAAATCTAACAGTCGATTAAAAATGGCAAAGGACTTCAATAGACATTTTTCCGAAGAAGATATACAGGTGGCCAACAAACCCATGAAGAGATGCTTGGTTTCATTAGCTATCAGAGAAATGCAGGTCAGAACCACAATGAGATATCAGGTGGCATTCATTAGAATGGCTATTTAAAAACAAACAAACAAAAATGATAATGAGTATCGATGAGGCTGTGGAGAAGTTGGAATCCTTGTGCACTGTGGGTGGGAATGAAGAATGGTGTAGCCTCTATGGAAAATCCTATGGCAGTTTCTTAAAAAAAGTTAAACAGAGAATTACCATAAGATGTAGCAAGCCCACTTCTGGGCATATCCCCAAAAGAATGGAAAGTGGGGACTTGGTATTTGTATACCATGTTCACAGCAGCCAAAAGGTGGAAGAAACCCAAGTGCCCACTGAAGAATAAATGGATAAACAAAATGTGTATCTATACAGTGAAATGTTATTCAGCCTTAAAAAAGGACTTTTTTTTTTTTTGAGAGAGCGTGTATGTGCGGCGGCGGTGGGGGGGGGCAGATGGAAAGGGAGAGAGAGAGAGAATCTCAGGCAGGCTGCACACCCAGCTCAGAGCCCGATGTGGGGCTTGATCTCACAACCCTGAGATCATGACCTGAGCTGAAGTCGAGAGTCAGATGCTTAACTGACAGAGCCACCCAGGTGCCCCCAGCCTTCAAAAAGGAAATTCTGGGGCACCTGGGTGGCTCAGTCGTTAAGCGTCTGCCTTCGGCTTAGGTCATGATCCCGGGGTCCTGGGATCGAGCTCCGCATCGGGCTCCCTGCTCATCAGGAAGCCTGCTTCTCCCTCTCCCCCTCCCCCTGCTTGTGTTCCTGCTCTCGCTCTATCTCTGTCAAATAAATAAATAAAATCTTTAAAAAAAAAAAGGAAATTCTGACACCCGCTACAGCATGGATGAACCTTGAGGACATTATGCTATGTGAAGTAAGCCAGTCACAAAAAGACAAATACTATGAGACTATTTATATGGTGTCTCTAGGATAGTTAGATTCACAGAGACAGAAAGTAGAATGGTGGGAGACAGGGGCTAGGGGAGGGGAATGAGGAGTTGGTGTTTAATGGGGACAGAGTTTCAGTTTGGGAAGATGAAAAAGTGCTGGAGATGCGTGGTGGTGATGGTTGCAAAATAATATGAATGTGTTTAATGCCACTGAGCTGTACACTTAAAAATAGTTACAATGGTACATTTTTTTTTAAAAAGATTTATTTATTTGACAGAGCGAGAGAGGGAACACGAGCAGGGGGAGTGGGAGAGGGAGAAGCAGGCTTCCCGCTGAGCAGGGAGCCTGATGTGGGGCTCGATCCCAGGACTCTGGGATCATGACCTGAGCCGAAGGCAGATGCTTAACGACTGAGCCACCCAGGCGCCCCACAATGGTACATTTTATATTGTGTGTATTTTACCACAGTTTTAAAAAGAGATCAGGGATTCATAAAGAAGTGCTTGTAATTATGTTATAGCACCATCTTCTTTGCATTAAAATCCAAAAGTTGATTTTGATTTTTCTTTGGGGGGAAAAAAACTTTTTTCCCCCCAAACAAAGCGCAGTTTTCTTGCATTTAAGTTGGTTGTTGCCTACATGAAAAAAGTACGTTAAAGTAGTGGCAGAAGCTGTGAAATGGTGGTCTGGTCTGGGCTGACCCCCTACTTAAAACCCAAATTTACCCCTGCAATTTCCAGAATGCCCCCTAGGGGGCAATGCACCCCCAATTCCTGCCTCCCCCCCTCCTCAAGCGAACTGCTGTCTTTTTTTTTTTTTAAAGATTTTATTTATTTATTTGAGAGAGAGAATGAGAGAGAGAGCCACATGAGAGGGGGGAGGGTCAGAGGGAGAAGCAGACTCCCTGCTGAGCAGGGAGCCTGATGCGGGACTCGATCCTGGGACTCCAGGATCATGACCTGAGCCAAAGGCAGTCATTTAACCAACCTTGAGCACCCTTTTTTTTTTTTAAGATTTTATTTATTTATTTGACAGAGACACAGCGAGAGAAACAACACAAGAAGGGGGAGGGGGAGAGGGAGAAGCAGGCTTCCTGCAGAGCAGGGAGCCCAATGCCGGGCTCGATCCCAGGACCCTGGGACCATGACCTGAGCCGAAGGCAGACCCTTAACCATCTGAGCCACCCAGGCGCCCCCCTTTTTTTTTTTTTTAAGATTTTATTTACTTATTTATTAGAGAGAGTGTAGTTCTCGAGCAGGGGAGGGAGAGGAAGAGGGAAAGAATCCCAAGCCGAGTCAGCAGCGGGGGTGGGGGGTGGGGTATAAAGCTCAATCCCACAACCTTGAGATCATGACCTGAGCTGAAACCAAGAATCCGAGGTTCAACCCACTGAGCCACGCAGGAGTCCCTGAACTGCTGTCTTTAGAATCTTCCAGGTGACTTGGCTGGAGCAGTGGAGAGGGAAGGGTCCTGTGGGCACTGCTGGCCTGAGCTGCACTGGCCTGAGCCGGCCCCACATGGCACGGCTCTAGGTGGCAGGGGCTCTTTGAGGGCGGGGGCCAGTGTCTGATCCTCTCTCACATTCAGAAAAACCTAGTGCCTGCCCTGGGGCTCCTGTCATTCCTCCCTGCCCTCATCACCACTCCACGCACTTGCTGCCTGACCGAGCCTCATGTGGGAGATGTGTCATCCCCAAAGGAGGGGGGGGGGGAATGACAAGGACTATTAACTGCCACCCAAGGTTCCTGGGGATGGCTTTAGGAATGCCCCTCTCAGGGCGCCTGGGTGGCTCAGTCGGGTAAGCGACTGCCTTCGGCTCAGGTCATGATCCTGGAGTCCCGGGATCGAGTCCCGC